ATACAGCCAAGTAGCCTTTGGAATCGCGCGACGGTCGCGCAACTTTACCGCGAATCGCGGTATCACTGCACGTCTCCTACTAAAAGGGGGCGTGGGGTCGCCATAGGATTTGGGAAGGATGTCCCCTTCACGGTCACTGACAGACTAGTGGATCCGGAAGGCAGATTTCTGTTTCTCCATGTTGAAATGTATGGTGTTATTTCTACTTTGGCGAACGTTTATTGTCCGAATTCCTCACCAGCTTCCTATTTCAGAAAAATACGAGGTAAACTACGCAGCTTTCGTTCTGGCCACCTAATGATATCGGGGGACCCCCCATGGATACATCTGCGGGCCACACCTGCAATCCTAAATCACACCTTAATACTGTACGCAGGGCGCTGCATGATCTCTGGGAAGCTCACAAATCAGTGATCAGTGATCCGGGGCACACTGATAGCCATGGGCTCCAAGAAAAAAAAGGATCGTGTTGCGCAGCTACAATTGTTGCTTTCCGATATACACTCTTTAGAACTTTCTCATAAGGCTACATCTGATTGCTCTACGTATCAAACACTCACCTTCAGAAGGGAACAACTTAAAGAGCTGCTGAAATCGGACACTAAACAAGCCTTTGCTGCTATAAATAAGAAATTCTATGCTCAAGGTAACAAGCCAGGTAGACTGTTAGCTCAAGCACTAGGCCCTAAACGCTCAGCCACCTTCATCCCCAAAATCAAGACTGCAACAGACTCTATGACCCATCTTACCACTGACATAGCCGAAGCATTCCATGACTTTTACCAGGACTTGTACCAGGTCAATCCCCCCTCGCAGCCTCACTTAAGTCCTGATCTTACTAATAGAATCGCGGACTACATACAAAGAGCGGGTTTACCTACGTTGCCAACTGACGCCCTACTTGCCTTAGAATCCCCCATCACTATAGCTGAAATGGAACGAGCGATCCAATCCACCCCTTTAGGCAAAAGCCCGAGCCCGGACGGATTCCCCCTATTATACTTCAAGCGATTTCAGACTCAATTAGCTCCCAATTTCTGTAGTTATGTTAATTCCATTGATGCCACCTCCCCTCTCAGACCGGAATCGTTACTTGCCCACATCACTATCCTGCCCAAACCGGGTAAAGACCCAGCTTGCTGCTCTAGCTACCGCCCCATATCGCTAATGAACGTGGACACCAAGTTGTACGCTAAGATCCTGGCTTCCCGACTTAGCCCACTTTTACCCGGATACATGGATACATCCGGATCAGGTGGGCTTCGTCCCAGGGAGGGAGGCCTGAGACAGCGCCCTCAAATCCGTATCACTTATTCACCTAGCCCATACACTGAACTCCCCAGTCCTACTCTAGTCCACAAACGCCGAAAAGGCGTTTGACAGAGGGGACTTGGGATTCATGTTCTCCACGCTAGCCTCCGTGGGCCTTGGCCCCCGGATGCTGGTGTGGATCTCCGCACTATATTCCTCTCCAACAGCTAGAGTTAAGGTGAACGGCATGCTGTCCCCCTCCTTTTCGCTGCACAATGGCACGCGCCAGGGCTGCCCCCTCTCACCGTTGTTGTTTGCTCTATCCCTTGAGCCCTTTTAGCCACTATACGCAATAATCCTAACATTCATGCCATATCTTCCCCCACTACTGAGTACAAAATCGCGGCATGTGCGGACGACATCCTTTTCTATGTCCGTGACCCTCGGACGGGTGGGGGACATTAGAAGCAGACTTGAGCAACCCCCGACTCTCAGACTGTGTCTGGACCCCACCCGATATGCGGACCCTATCCCCTCTGATCTCCCCTCTCACTCTAGCTACCCTTACAACCTGGGACCGCCTACATAAAGCACACAGCTGGCCTTACAACTCAGTTCTAATGACCATAGCGGGTTCGAATCTCTTCCCCCTGGTAATAATGACCCTCTCTTTTCGACATGGACGGACACTGACTGCTTACGCTTAGAACATGTCCTCCGAGGGACCTCACTTCGCTCTCTCCAGGACCTGAGGGATAAATGGGGCACCCATCCGATGGACTTCTGGAGACATAGGCAACTTCAACACTTTGTCGTGTCTCTTCAGAAGCCCCTCCGAACGAGAGCAAACTTCCTGCCCTTTGAGTCACTGTTAGGGTCATCGACCACCACACGCCATGGTCTATCTGTCATCTATAAGATCTTGTCAAACTTCGCGGGTGATCTGCCCCCACCATACCTTGGGAAATGGGAACAAGAACTCCAACGACCCTTATCCCCCCCCCCAAAGTGTTGCACATGTGTTCCTTGGCTTCACCAGATAGCCATATGATGGAAGTAAACTTTAAACTCTTCGAGGTGGTATCAGGTCCCCATCACTACTCATGCCATCAGCCGGGCAAATTCCCCACTGTGCTGGAGATCATGCGGTGCAAGAGGCACGTATGCTCACCTATGGTGGGATTGCCCATTCATACAACGGTTCTGGGGTGATATCACCCGTCTCATTTCCACTATTAGCGGCATACCTGCGCCCATGGACCCCTGGCTGTGCTTCTTCCATCTGAACCCCCTCTCATTGCGCTCTTATAAAAAGACGGTGATTCCCTTTATGCTTAATGCCGCAAAAGCTCTTATCACCAAACACTGGCGATCCACCCAAATACCCACTGTGGCGGACTGGCTGACACAGGTAGATTACCTGCGACTGATGGAGGAACTACATCACTCTAGTAATGATAACTACAGCACTTTCACAAAATGTTGTCCACATGACCTGTCCTGATCTATTTATTTATCTATTCTGTCTTATTTATTTTTCATATTCTCCCTGTTAATTTTGCATAACCGGTTGGCGTCTCATACTCCATCCTAACATGTTATTTCTTCTATAATTTGACTAATGGCCCCCTCAGGGGGTTCCGAATACGTATATGTATATGTCTCACAGTGTTTCGCCATGTGAATGAACACGCTGAGCCTTACTTACTCCAAAATACCCTGACCAGGGGAATACCCAGTTCCCCTGCCTCCCTGGTGTAACCTACCCCCTCCCCCTTTGGTATTATATGTAATGTGATAGTCTATATGTATGTACACACTGTATTGTATTTTTGTTATTGTTATATTTTGAAAACCTTCAATAAACATTTAATATGAAAATAAATAAATAAATCCTAACTGCAGAATATGGACCATCGTGGTAAATTGAGATGTAAAGAAAACTTTATTTTCTTGCTTTAGCTTCCCAGACCTCAAACAGTGACTTCACTCTGGGTAGCAGTCAATGCTAGTACAGTGAATGTACACTTGTGCAAAAAATGTATTATGTTGATATAAGTCCTAATTTACAGCATTCCATAAACAAATCAACAGTTTTTCTTATAATTCTTTAAGTCTACATTTAATGGTATATTTTCAGATTGTAGATAAAGCAGCAAGTGGAAAATTCTGGTTTATAATGTCAAGATGGTCATTTAATTTCAACTGTTTATTTCATTATATACAGTAAAAACATCTCTCCACTCTGTATGCTATGATGTATGTTATAAACTCCAAAACTCTTTATTCTGTATACTGTGCCCTATGTTACATACTGCAGACCTCTGCACACTGTGCTGTATGTTTATACTTTACGGTGCCTCACTCTGTACACTATACTGCACAATTATATATTTCACACTTCCCCACTCTGGACACTATGCTATACCCCCTACACTGTTAAAAATTGGGGGGAAAACCTTACAATGAAACAAGGCAAACACATACTATAGGCAAGAGCTTTACTTTTGCTTCAGTTTACATAAATCAGGCTTATAGTAGGTAATGGTGTAGTTGTGAGGCACACTGTGCCTATTGGTAACACAAATCAAGATTAGGAGCAGGTTTACCAACCAAGAGTGGATGAACTGCAAGTACTAAGTACACTGTTTACCGTTTCCCCTGGCACATGAAAACTAGCAGAAGAGCAAATTACAACTTTGCAAACTATATGGGGAGGCATTTATCTATTCTATCACATGGCAAAGCAATGCTAAACAGGGGCAGTGAGGCAATTTGTAAGATTTGTTATTTGCTTCCTCGGCTGCTCTAAAGTAGTACTGCAACATAATAAATCCTGAGCTCAATCACTTTATAATTCTGTATCTGTTTAGAGGGAAAATATGTAGCAACTTTAGTAATAAATCTGTCTTAAAACCTTGCAAACTGTTGCAGTTTGCTGCCCAGCCAAACACACACAGGACTGTAAACCTGTCACATAGACTTTTCTGAAGGAGAATGAGACTGATCTGCTCTATCACAAGATTACCTCTAACTTTAGGTTTTTATCTATCACATGCGGTCCATGCATACTAGGCTTGAAACTCACACCTGCAGCAAATGAAAGTGGAAAGGCACTCAACTGCAGCAGCCATGACATCAGTCTTTGCCACAGCATTACCTGTGGTCCTCAGGCCCTACTGCCATCATGCTGGCAGATCAAACGTGGAGCTGTTGCACCAACAATCTCCTTCACTTCACCCTTTAAGCCACAACTTCACCCTCAACTATGTAGGTGTCATGTCACAACCTCATACCCCCATGAACCTGTGCTTCCTGTCATGGTGGTAGAATGCAATCCTGTTACTACATCTTATTTTGTAATTACAAGGGACACATTCGCAACATTCTGCTTTTGAACTTGCTGTCTTTAGCAATTCTGACTGAAAAAGTCCTCTGCAAATAGCTGAAAAGGATAGGTCAGGTGTGGATCTTAGTGACTCGCGCATTTCAGAAATATTACAGAAACAAATTTTAAAATAAAAATATATAAATCTACGTTTAGTTTGGAACCTTTGGTTTCAGTGAAGTGAAAAAGTGTGCTCTGGTGTTTTCCAAACAACACAACTGGATGGATGGCATTGGTAACCATAAGAACAGTGACACCATTTTTTTCTCTAAAGTTGAACTTTTTGCCATCTTCTGGAATTAACACTCTTATTAATCAAAATGATAAGGTATATGGTTACAGCACAGGTACATTAACATACCCCATCTATGGCTAGTATTCCTCCACTCCTCAAGAGACGCAGACATTTTTCATAGCATTTTCTGCAATTCTGTTGATGAGCCATATTTATGGAAATCAAGTCAAATGTGCCAGCTTCTCCAATAGAGAGCAGGTCATCTAGAGAGACAAAAATGTTAACAATTTAAAGCACTGAAACCATTAAACACAACTTATTCACACTCATCTGACCATCCTTTAACTAGACAAACCTGTTTGACGTTAGTCTTATAGGCTCTTACTCAAAACTCTGAATAAGGAGGTAGCCATTAAATGATTAAATAGTTTTACAACTTATAAAAATATTGTAAATCATATGTGTGACTATCACTATACAATCAAGATTTTATTGCAGCTGCCATAAAATTCTTCATGACTTTGTTGAATATAATACTTTTGTAAAGTACACCTGTCCTTTCTCTGTTGCAACTACTACAAAAATACCTGATGTATGTAGGCTGGTGTTGGAGCTCAAACGGAACAGAAGCCTCACCCCTTTCTGGGGCCTTAGCGACTGGCTACTAGGCACAAGCACTGCATCATGGTAAGAGGTCACTTGCATCCCCATACCTGGAAGCATCATGTACTTTGCTAGTGTGGCTGCAGAAGGAGTTAAAGTAGAAAAACCCTGGACATACTAGGTTAAGAATGTTTTAATCTGGCTGCAGAAATGACAGGCAGAGATTATAAAACAATGCCAATAAATCTTCTTGCACCCCTGGACGGTTAATGCTAGGGTTACCTGGACAAGGATTGGCAAAGATTCTTTAAAGGAGAACTATGGGGCAACCTTTTTTGCCCATAGTTCTCTTCAGGGTCATGGGAGGACATATATTAATGTCCTCCGGTGACACAAAACTCAGCAGAGCCGTGCCGCAGCTGTTGGGATCCACCCCGCTGGCTGACTGATGGCTCTGCCTCTCTAGAGACAGAGCCAGCTGTGCCCGCCTCCTCCCCTGTCCATCCGTTCCTCCAGTCAGTGCTGGAGGATCAGAGAAGGCTGGCGGAATCCCTGCGGGGTGCGGTGACTGACAGTCAGGAAGTCAGCGATTGGCGGTATGTGTTCGCCGAGTTCCCAATCAATAGAGCTTTAGTGACACAGGACGGCTTGAATTATGGGGATGAGTGTTTTTCACTCACCCCGTAATTTCTCCTCTCCCCCTAGGATACGTTGAGTAAGAAAATTGGAAAAAATAGGGTTTTGCGGAGAGGTATAACAGACCATGCATATATAAAGATATATGTAAAAATATCAACATTTATTTAAACATACAAATAATAAATAGTTAAAATTGAATTCAATTCATGAAAAATACAATGCCTATCCGAGAAATGTAGAGAATTGATATATGCATATATCAATTCTCTACATTCTCATATATTTATATATCAATTCTCTACATTTATATATGTGTATATAAATGTATAAACCCTATTTTTTCCAATTTTCTTACTGGTTATCTATTTTAACTATCACCAGTGCCAAGGATACTAGTTATCAGTAGCCCTCTGTGAAACAGATACAATTATCCAGTTTATTTTTTAGAACTATTGAACTTGAATTACCAAGGTACCATAATAAAAAATATTTGGAAGAAAAACAAGACAATTTAGTTATCTTTGTAAATATTTATATATAAAATCTTTATTCTACACATTCACACCAGGGTGAACCCATGACATGGATTTTGCAGATACTTCTGGGCTTTCCAAACAGAGAGTACAACAGTAGCTTTGTGACCGTCTCTTATTGTTTACACATGAGCATAATGAGTAAAGCATATCTACTTTACACATTCCCAAAAAAAACTGTGATCCACGACATGTGGATGTCCATTTTCTTTAATGCAGCAGACTGACTTTCATCAGGGGCAAAATTCATAGGCATATTGAAACCAAATAAGAGAGGAACTCGTTCCCAAAGCGACCAATCAAAATTTCTACCAGCAATAATTTCATTTTTCTTTTCTGTTTTACATTTAAAGGATAAGTTCCCCCAATTTTGAGGCCCTTCAAATATTGCAACTTACCAGACCATAGATGAGGTGCCCACATTAGTTTTCAGGATTTCTTTTCTTTATTTTCACTTGATGATCCTGAGAGTAACACACTTGCTGTTCTAGAGTGACAACAACTCTCTTAGGCTTGGTTCACACCTAGGCGTACCGAATATGCGCGTTTGCCGCGTGTTTTTACCATGATTCGCAGTAAAAAAAACTCGCAACAAACGCGCGTTTATGAGGGCTATCCAGCTGTATCCTAATGGATACGCGCGGCAAATACGCCCCAAAGAAGCTCCTGTACTTCTTTGGGCGTAGGGCGTTTTGCAGCGCATTCCCACGCGCTGTAAAACGCCCAGGTGGGAACCATGCCCATAGGCAATCATTGGTTTTCACATGTTGAGCGTTTTATAGCGCGTAGGAACACGCTAGAAAACACGATATAAAACGCCCAGGTGTGAACCAGGCCTAAGTGTACTGTGTCTATGGAGGAGAAGCGTTCTCACCCTAGGACAGGAAGTGTCTTGGGACTACAGCTCTTATCGCCATATCATGGGGGTAGGAGACAATGCTATCAGGTACTAGTGCATCAGAGGCAAAGAGAAAAGGAAGTTAACAGCTCACTGGATTTCTGGCAGGCTCAACATATAGTTATATATTTTATTGAATCGTTATAACAAAATGCTTTCAATTGTATGTTTAACAGTCCAAAAGATAGCAAACAAGAAAAGGTAATTGTTAGGGTTTATATACACCTTAATATTTTAAATGAACCTGAACAGTCCACTGTCAGAAGCAAGCATTGTTATGTGGTACCTCACTCCAGTATTCACTTGCACAGCTGACATCCTCTTTGTCTCGCACATTTGCAACAAGCTTTCCATCAGATGGCAGGACCAATGCCATGATTAATGGATTGTAGCCATAGCTCCACCCTTAGCAAAACAAAAGACAGTGCTGGTTAGCAGTGAAGTAAAACATGTTACTCATATGTACTTTTATAAAAGTAGTTAGCTACATTTGAATCTTGGAGTGGACAACATAGAAAAGTGTTTCTTAAAGTGGAACTGAATTCGTGATTCACTATATTATAGCGAAATGGAGAATAGTAAATTGTGCATAACAAATTCCCTGAAAAATGTACCTTTGTCTGGAATTCATTCTGATAAACAGCAGTGGTATGTGATGGTGCCTGGGCACTCCTGTGCTTACAGTGTCATAGCTGTACACATACAGTGTGAGATCTAAGACACTGGGCCTTTGATTGATAAAGTCAGGAGATTTGGTGATGTCATTATGTGCTGATCACTGTTGGAGGTTCTAATATGAGGAAGAAAGCCCTGCCTCTACCAAGATAGTTGGCTCCACACAGAAACACAGTGCAGAACAGGACATGGTGGGCCTCCAATGGGGAAAAGATCAGCTTCTGGTAGTCCAGGGGAAAAAATGGTCTTTGCTCTTTGCCTGCCTTTTTTTGGCCGCAGCTTCCAAAATTAAGTTCCTCTTTAACTCCAGTCTTCACGTACCCCCAAAAGGTCATGTTTTCAAGATTGCCTTGCTCTGGTGTTTTAATTGGTATTGCTGGCTTGAGAAAATAACAACAATTTTATTTTAGGGATAGTCTAACTTCATCACCTTGTTAAGGTTACTGGAATTGAGAAGCACCAGCATAGGGTGTGCAAGAGGTTACAAAAGAAGGAATCATATTATTTAAGTCTAAATCTAAGAAAACCAATAATCTAATTTAGGGCAAATGATAATGGGTATTTGTTCCATATAGAGTGTGCAAGAGGAAGTCAATATTACAACACAGGAAATATGACAGAAGAGATTTATACCATCACAGACGGTATGTGGTGGAGGAAAACAACAATAGAAATGAGAGAGGATGAACAATCAGATCAAGGTACTTAATACAAGGGAACAAGTGAATCAGACTGTATGACTGGGTATGTAACAGAGAGGATCCACACTATAAGAAAGTGTATCTGATAGATGGCATCAACTTTAGGACTAAGGTACATGATACTAAAGCTGGCCAGACACCAGTAGAATTTCATTAAACACAATTTGTATAGTTTGTTCATTTCATTTTCTACTAGATAATGGGATCAAGTCGATGATCATTTTTGACTGCAGTAATGAAAATAATCAAAGGAGTTGGATGGAGTTGTAATAGTGAATGGTTTTCCTTTGGGAGACTCCATTCTTTCCAAAATCGAATGTCCAAACCAAACAAGGTTTCAAATGTCAACTCTCTGATGGCATTATCAAATGTTCTGATGAGATTCTTCATGAAAGATGTGAACATAAGAACGTTCCAGTGTAAGGAAGGAAATGAGCAAGGCAACACATGAAAAGAGGCCATGCAAGAGAGCTAAGCAAACAAGCACAGCAGTAATGAAAAAATATTGAGGCTGATGTACTAAAGGAGTTGAGAACCTTTACACATTACATTGGAGGGGGGTTTACTAAAACTGGAGCAGACAGAATCTGGAGCAGTTGCCCACAGTAATCAATCAGCTTCTCTCTTCAGTTTGTTCAGTTAAGCGCTAAAATGAAAGCTAAATGCCGATTGCTTGACATGGACATCTGCTCCAGATTGTGTCTGCTCCAGTCTTAGTAAATTTACCTCACCGTGTGTATATTCACTTTAATTATCCAATCATGTAAAAAGCAAAATCCTGTTTACTGCTTACATCTGCACATGAATGGAAAATTGAAGTGACTACTCACTCTATTGTGAATCTATTGTGTGAAGATTCATAACTCCCATGGTAAATCAGCCGCAATAGTGTGTGGGTTTGATTTATTATTTATATCTTCTGGCAATATTCTATGTATCCTCACCCATTTCTAAAATCTTCTTAGATTTAATTGTTTTAGCCAGGTTCGCCAATAGTTGGATGGCATCGCTGCTTATATCCTGGGGAGTGATCCTTGAAAGATGCTGAAAACACAAATCATCATTACTTTACAAGATTTGTTTTGGTTTTAATAGGAGTAAGCTGTCATGCATTTTTCCAAGGTACATTATTAAAAGTTAAGCATGCTGATTAAACGCCTACCTGAAATGTGTCATGAATACCTAATGCAGATGTCAGACCAGAGAGCTGACATTCAGCACTTTTTTATTAGAGAAACATGACGAGTCTTAACTCCCACTGAGCTAGATCAGTTTCCCATTGATATAAATGAAGACTGCTTTCCCTTAAAGCAGTGCTCCCCAACCTTTTTATCGCTGCGGACCGGTCAACGTTTGATCATTTTACCGTGGCCCGCTGAGGAGGGGACGTTGATTGTTTATATTTTAGATTGTTTTGATTTAATAATTTAAAGGAGAACTATGACATGAGTGATTTCCACTCACCTCATAGTACGGCGGCCCGGGGGTTGGGGACCACTGCCTTAAAGGAACTGTACACCACAACTGAATGCCATTTGGTGTGCTAATGTACTATGAGGGGCATTTATCACAATTGGAGCAGACAAAATCTGGAGCAGCTTTGCATGGCAACCAATCAGCTTCTCTCTTTCATTTTCAAATCTTAACTGAACAAACTGAAGAGAGCTGATTGGTTGCCATGGACAACTGCTCCACATTTTGTCTGCTCTAGTTTTGATAAATTCCCCTCAATGTATATTAAACAATTGGCTTTGTTTTAAAATAAGAGATACTTGTTTTTGCTGTTTTCATTCTTTGTTGCATCTCAGCACTGCTGATCTTCTGCAGTCTCTTCCTTGTCTACATGCAAGCGATGGCTGCATGGCATTTTTCAGGGCATGTTCCACTGCTGTTGGTGCACATTGTACTGACAACAGTGGGCCAAGCCTGTGGGACAAGAATAGAAATGTCCCCTTTCATTTTGTAGTGGCGCACTTCTTGTGCCTTCAGCATCTAAGGCAGGGGTGGGGAACCTCTGGCCCTCCAGCTGCAGTGAAACTACACATCCCATGATGCATCTGTCTTTGAGTCATGCCTGAGGCTGTGAGAATCTTGCAATGCATCACGGGATTTGTAGTTTCACCACAGCTGAAGGGCCGGAGGTTCCCCAGCCCGCTCTACGGGGAGGGGAAGGAGGGTGGAGTTAGATATGCAGCATTATTATATTAATAGAAGCACTGCAAATCATATCTCCTGTCTGACATCACCCTAAAGTCAACCTCAGCCAAAAGTTCTGCCTAAGACTGACTATAACTAGAAAAGCCTATTTTGTTTAGCTTCATTTTGTCACAGAACCTGATCTTCCCCGATTTCAATGCTAAGCCCCTCTAAATGCCTTTCCACTGTCCTGGGAGACTGCCTTGGTGGCCAGAAAGGTCACTTACATTGGACGGGGCGGGGCACTGTGTGGATCTTAGCAATGAAGTCAGGAAAACTCAGGCCTGAGTAACCAAATCAAAACATGGCACCTGAAGATAGCAGACATCTTATAATTATCATTTGGGTGAGACTTTTAGATGGGGAATGGGCAGTTTGCAATAAGTGATATCTATTTTGCCTTTATATATGAATATTGCCTTTTAGTGCTCGGTATGCTTTATTATTATGAAAGCACGCACTGCTTTAATGGTGTTAAAGTATATGGAAACCCTATCACTTAAATCTCATATAAACTTTCATATTAACATCATTTTAAAACGTGTCTTCAAGCTTAAATGTCCAGTTTTCATTAAACAAATCCCTTGTTCAGTTACTCCTGTTATGGGTTGACAAAGGCCAATTGTGTTTCAATGTTGTCATCCCGTCACACATGCTCCCGATAAAGAGTACAAGTGGCCATGCCGATGCACATAGACCAAGCATGGTGCACCGTTGTCACTATCAGTAAGCAGGTCCAAGGTAAAGATGTGCAGGTGATGCTGGAGTGACTGGATGTAGACAGAAAGTGGCTGTAAAGGAATTGAGGAGACCAGTAGCAGTGAGAGGCGAAAAAGATGAAAACAGTACTTTATGGGGAAAAAAAGACATGGCAATTGTTAATTATGCACAGTGTGGTAGCAAGCTAAATGTCATCCAGGTAGGGTTAGGGTCTAAACCTTAAAGCCCCACTCTTGCAGTGCCTGATGGGATTTGCAGTTCCACAACAGCTGGAGGGCCACAGTTTGCCCTCCCCTGACTTAGGGGAATAAAACTTTGTTTTGCCCAGAGATGAGCTTCAGTTTCCACCAAGCTTGACCATACATTGATGGCTTGCTATTCCTTCTTGTCTAGTATGTTGAATATCTCCCAATGAAATCTCAGCGCTCCACCAAATGAAAGCAGGCTGATCAGAAGGGCAGCTAAACAACAACCTATGATTAGATTTCATTTTGCTTAGAATGCCGTATCCTTATCACACAGCTATTTCTCATTTCCATACCTGTCTCAGCTTCTTGGCAGATGGGTGCTCTCTGAGGGAGAGCCGGAGCAAGTATTCTCTACGCGGGTCATCCTGTCCATCAAATACTTTTTGCGACTTTTTCCTTCTGTACATAAAATATTTTTTGCCTATAAACACACACAAAAACACTTGGGTAATATAACTATACATGCCTAAATTATCACTATTATATACAGTATGCTTCTAGTTTTCTAAGTCAGTCGTGGTTGGTGACCATTACATTTATCAGAAGAGTCTGCAGTAGCAGTGGATCAGATGAGGTCTGAGGATGATTGTAGTAAAATCCCTTAATTTTGGGGTATTGATCTGAGCTGCTCTGAAAGTAAGGTCTGTCCTTGCTGGTGGACAGCTTTCATAACTCTGGGTAAGTTAAGGTGCAAGAATGCCACATATAAAAGGTCTGCAAACTGGATCATTTGATTTCTGTCTATGTTTAGCTCCAAACATCCATTACACATGTCACTGCATTTCAGGAAGGTTGAAGAATTAAGAAAATTAACAAAATGATTGGCTATATCCATAAAGATACTGTATGTCTGATAGATGGACAATCTAGCAATTTAGAATCCAGACAATTCTGATTACAGCCCAGAGTTATGCATCTAACCCATCCTACAAGGTTTTTTATTTCTTACCTGGTAAAATAAGTTATACTTACCAAAGTCCGCCTTCCAGGTCCCTCACACTGTTTCTGGGTGGGGGGCAATCGCTAAGCCAGTGCTGCAGATGGGCCCCGCCAGCCAACATAGGATCGTTGTCCGTCACACAGGCAGTGATGTGGACACCCAAAAAAGGACCTATCTGAATGTAAACCCGAAGAGGAGAGTAGGCTCGGGACTGCAATGCCACGTTCTTGTAGCTTTAGGTAAAAATTTAAAGGGAAACTATTAGGGATGCACCGATGCCGATATTAGTATCGGTACCAATTCCGAGTCTTTAGGCAAGTACGAGTACCAAACGCTCCGATACTTACCCGGGATACTGGAACTTCCGGTCAGAGGGGGATTTCCTCTAACCGGCCGCCCGGCTTCCTGATTGGCCAGGAAGCCGGCTACATGCTAGTGGAAGTACCGGTATCAGTACTCGGCGAGTACCAACATATAAGTATTGTTACATGCATCCCTAGAAACTCTAATGGTTTTGGATTTATTGTATTTATGTGTTTTTTACAGTGGGAAGGCCATGGGGGAAGAGGGGGGGGGGGGGGGGGTTGGCAACCCAACTTGAATGACTTTAGTGCTGCTATTTGAGGATAAACTGTTCCACAGTGCCTGTAGAGGTCAGTGAGGGCAATTTTAAAGCTTCTTAAGAATATGTAAATATTTGAACATCCCTATCCTGGTTTATATTGTTGTTTTATGTTTGTATATGTGCACAATCTGTGTTTTACAAATAAACATTTCAAATGTAAGTCCAGCCAAAACGTTTTTTAGTTTTGAATAGATGGTGAAGAATTACAACTCCTGTTGACTTTTCACTGCTATCTGGGGCTCCTTTAAAGAGGGTTTCCCTACTTACTGTCACAGTTTCACCAGGCAGGAAGTGAGGAAAAATCTGTACCAGAGACACAGTAAACAAAAATTCTTTGTTAGTGGTGAAGATTATTTCCTCTGTGCTTAAAGCAGAACTCTGGGCAAAAGTGTTCTTTACCCATACAACCCCAGCAATGCAAAGGTGAAGTATTCATTTTTGTTTAGGTACTAAAAAAAAACGTTGTACTCACTCGATCTTCACCCAGTACTCACCTGATCCTGGCTGCTACTCTTGCCCCTGAAGCCTTTCTCCTCCTTGGCTGCAGTGATGGTATATCCCTCAACGTCCTCAAGTCCTATACACACTGTCTTGGATGTGATCACTCGAGTATTCTTACACTGCTGCAGCGGAGGGGGATTTAGGCTGGAAGGTCTGGTCTAAGAGCCAGCTCTGAGGATTGGGTGTGTATAACTTTTTTTTAGCACCTAGAGAAAAACAAGCATTAACCCTTGCAGTGCAGAGGTAGCTCCACTGCAAGGGTTAAGACCACTTTTGCCCAGAGTTCTGCCTCAGTTAAAGCCGAACTTTAATTAAATTAAAAAAAATTGATTGATATATATATATATATATATATGAATAATTTACAAGTAATATTTATG